TCATGGGGGGGCAGAAGTCTGACCTTCCGGCCCTGGGACCACCAGCTGGGATGCAGCCTTTACGTGTGGACCTCAGGACGCTTCTTCTCTTGGTTCTGCTTCCTTGTCCAGGTGCATGTGAGTAAGATGGAGGGACAGCTGGGTCTTTTCTTTACCCTGGAAGTTAGCTCAGAAGTCATTTTGCTCCTTAGCTCAGTGCCAGGCCTCTGCTCTTTTCCTATTACCTGGACCTGCAGACCTCAGAATTGTTCACCTTTCAGTCTTTTTTGTTCCCCTGTGTCTTCCTGTGTACCTTTTTTTTTCTATGCCTTTTAGGATAAAATCATATAATTATGCAAAGGTGATTTTTAAACTATAAATAATATAAGAGGAGCGTCTCAAAACACTGTTATTTATTCAGTCCAGTTGATAGAAACACATTTTCTAACCTGAGCCTAAAAAAGAAAAGTCAATTTCCTTCTCTGGGGAATGCCCTCTGCCTACTGCTGTCAGAACCTAGAGTCAGACACTTTGAGATCCCATGGCCATAGTGCACCCATTCAGCTGCATGGCCCTTGCCAGGGTATTGAATATTTTTGGGTTTAATGAATGCCCTTGTGTTCACATAAGTACATTTGAACTGAGACTGAATATCATTTCAGCAAATATAACATGGAAATATTATATTTCCATAACAATGTAAAGAAATTGGTCCAACTGAGAAGACATGCACTTGCCAAACAACAGGTTAGTTGAAAGAAGTATGAAATATTCTATTTAATTTCAAAAGTAAAGACTGAAATATCAACACATTTTGATAGAGAATATACATATTGATTTTAATGAAAGATTCTATTGAACAGTGAGATAAATATACATAATTAGCCAACAATAAAAGGAGATAATATTAAAATCTAAAATTGTATCTCAGTCCACTTCCTCAGAAACATCATCTATTAAGATACAGGAAAGCAATTAATACATTAGAAAGTAAATTTTACTAAATAAATAAATAAATAATTTGTGACAAAGTTAAAAGAAAATGTATCATATGTTGAACGTTGTCTTTTAAAATTAGCTTTATTGAGGGATATTTGATATACACAATGCACATATTTAATATTTACAGTTTTGATTTTGGACATCTGGTGATTTGTTTTCTTGCATAATATGATCAATGAGGTGCATCCACAAGGGGAATACAAGAGTAGCTCAGGAAAACAGTTTATTTTTCTCACATGTTCTGGAGAAACCATCATATTCCATACAGGTGGTTACAAGGATAAAGGAGGAGGAAGTGTCAAGAGAGGGGGTCAGCTAAGCAGTTTGGGAGCCTAAAGAGGGAAAGGCTTATGGGCAATTATGTTTACTGGGATGAAGGTGGGACTCATAAATAAAGGGACAAATAAATTTCTGCATTTAAATATCGCTAGGTCTTCATCTGAAGAGTGCAAGAAGGGAAACTTTGACAAAGTCCAGCCTCATCACTGTGGTGTATGGGATCACCTGGGCAAAGGGCTCCCAGGCATGTTTGTGGACATGTTGAGTTAGCAGGAAAAAATGCAGTATAAAAATATACAATACAAATGAAAATACCTGTTTAACAATCAACAATCAGCACAATCCAGTTAATCAACATATCTGTGCCCTCAATAGGTTGCCTCCTGTTATGCTATTTTAAATTTTTATTATTTTTAAATTATTTATTTAAATTCAGTTTAGCTAACCTACAGCGTATTATTAGTTTCAGGGGTAGAATTTATTGATTCATCAGTTGCATATAACACTCAATGCTCAAGGCACCTGGATGGCTCAGTCGTTAAGCATCTGCCTTCGACTCAGGTCATGACCCCAGGGTCCTGGGATCGAGCCCCACATCGGGCTCCCTGCTCAGTGGGAAGCCTGCTTCTCCCTCTCCCACTCCCCCTGCTTGTGTTCCCTCTGTTGCTGTGTCTCTCTCTGTCAAATAAATAAATAAAATCTTAAAAAAAAACAACAGTGCTCATTATATCAAGTGCCCTCCTTAATGGCCATCATCCACTTGCCTCATCCCCCCACCTGCCTCCCCTCCAGCAACCCTACAGTTAAGAGTCTCTTATGGTTTCCCTCCCTCTCTGTTTTTATCTTATTTTATTTTTCCTTCCTTTCCCCTATGTTCATCTGTTTTGTTCCTTAAATTCCACATATGAGAGAAATCATATGGTATTTGTCTTTTTCTGACTGACTTACTTTGCTTAGTGTACTACCCTCTAGTTCCATCCACATCATTGCAAATGACAATTTTCATTTTTTTGATGGCTGAGTAATATATATATAACGTAATCTTTATCCACTCATCTGTCAATGGACAGCTGGGCTCTTTCCATAGTTTGGCTATCGTGGACATTGGAGAGCATGTGTCCCTTCAAATCACGGTATTGTATTCTTTGTACACATACCTAATAATGCAGTTGCTGGTTGTAGGGTGACTTTATTTTTAACCTCTTGAGGAAGTTCAATACTCTTGTTCCACAGTGGCTGCAACAGTTTGCATTCCCACCAACATTGTAAGAGGGTTCCACTTTCTCCACATCCTCACCAACACTTGTTTCCTGTTTGTTAATTTTTGCCATTCTGACAGGTGTGAGGCAGTATCTCATATTGGTTTTCATTTGTATTTCCCTGATGTGAGCATTTTTCCATGTTTGTTGCCCACTTGTATGTATTCTTTGGAGAAATGTCAGTTCATGTCTTCTGCCCATTTCTTGACTGAAATTTTGGGGGTTTTTTGTGTTTGTAGTTTGGTAAGTTATTTATAGATTTCAGATACTAGCTCTTTATCTGATATGTCATTGGTGAATATCTTCTCCATTCCATACGTTGCAGTTTAGTTTGTTGATTGATTCCTTCACCATGCAGATGCTTTTTATCTTGATGGAGTGCCAAAAGTTCATTTTTGCTTGTTTCCCTTGCCTTTGGAGATGTGTCTTGAAAGAAGTTGCTGTGGCCGATGTCGAAGAGGTTACTGCCTATGTTCTCCTCTAGGATTTTGATGTATTCCTGTCTCACATTGAGGTCTTTCATCCACTTTGAGTTTATCTTTATGTATGGTGTTAGAGAATGGTTGAGTTTCATTCTTCTGTATGTGGCTGTCCAATTTTCCAGCACCATTAATTGAAGAGACTTTTTTTTCCCCTGTATTGTTTTTCCTGCTTTGTTGAAGATTATTTGACCATAGAGTTGAGGGTCCATATCTGTGTTCTCTATTCTGTTCCATTGGTCTATATGTCTGTTTTTGTGCCAGTACCATGCTGTCTTGGTGATCACAGCCTTGTAATATAGCTTCAAATCAGGTAACATGATGCCCCCAGCTTTTTTTTTTCTTTTTCAACACTTCCTTGGCAATTCGGAGTCTTTTCTGGTTCCATACAAATTTTAGGATTATTTGATCCAGCACTTTGAAAAATGCCTTTGGTATTTTGATCGGGTTGGTGTTGAAGATATAAATTGCTTTGAGCAGCATAGACATTTTAACAATGTTTATTCTCCTGAACCATGAGCATGGAATGTTTTTTCCATCTTTTTGGGTCTTCTTCAATTTCTTTCATAACTGTTCTATTGTTCCTAGAGTATACATCCTTTACCTCTTCGGTTAGTTTAATTCCAAGGTATCTTATGATTTTTGGTGCTATTGTAAATGGATTCAATTCCTTAATTTCTCCTTCTACAGTTACAGCGTTTTTGTATAGGAAAACAATTTATTTCTGTGCATTGATTTTGTATCCTGCCCCATTAGTGAATGGGTGTTTGAGTTCTGGTAATTTGGGGGTGGAGTCTTTTGGATTTTCCACATAAAGAATCATGTCATCTGTGAAGAGAGAGAGTTTGACTTTTTCTTGGCCAATTTGAATACCTTTTATTTTTGTTGTTTTTTGTTGTTGTTGTTGTCTAATTGCTGTTGCTAGGACTTCCAATACTATGCTGAACAATACTAGTGAGAATGGGCATCCTTGACATGTTCCTGATCTTAAGGGAAAGGCTCTCAGCTTTTCCCCATTGAAAATGATATTCACTGTGGGCTTTTCATAGATGGGATTTTATGAAATTGAAGAATGTTCCCTCTATTCCTACACTCTGAAGAGTTTTAATCAGGAAAAGATGCTCTATTTTGTCAAATGCTTTTTCTGCATTAATTGAGAGGACCATATGGTTCCTCTCTCTCTTCTTATTAATGTGTTCTATCACAAAGATTGATTTGTGAATGTTGAACCATGCTTGCATCCCAGAGATAAATCCCACCTGGTTGTGATGGACAATCCTTTAATGTACAGTAGGAACAATAGAACCCTTATGAAAGAAAATGAAGAAAACCCAAAAAGATGGAAAAAACATTCCATGCTCATGGTTCACAAGAATAAACATTGTTAAAATGTCTATGCTGCTCAGAGCAATTTATACTTTCAACACCAACCCGATCAAAATACCAACGGCATTAGCTAGGATCTTGTTGAGAATTTTGCATCCATGTTCATTAGGGATATCGGTCTGAAAATCTCCTTTTTGATGGAGTCTTTGCCTGGTTTTGGTATCAAGGTAATGCTAACCTCATGGAATGAGTCTGGATGCTTTCCTTCTGTTTCTGTTTTTTGAAACAACTTCAGGAGAATACATATTATTTCTTCTTTGAATGTTTGCTAGAATTCCCCAGGGAATCCATCAGATCCTGGACTCTTCTTTTTTGGGGGAGGTTTTTGATCACTGCTTCAATCTCGTTACTGGTTATTTGTCTATTCAGGTTGTTAATTTCTTCCTGTTTCTGTCTTGGTAGTTTATAGGTTTCCAGGAATGCATCCATTTATTCCAGTTTGCTTAATTTATTGGCATATAGTTGTTGATAATAATTTCTGGTAACTATTTCTATTTCTTTGGTGTTATTAGTAGTGATCTCTCCCATTTCCTTCATAATTTTATTAATTTGGGTCCTTTCTCTTTTGTTATGGATAAGTGTAGCCAGTGGTTTATCGATCTTACTAATTCTTTCAAAGAACCAGCTTCTAGTTTTGTTGATGTGTTCTACTGTATTTCTGGATTCTAATTCATTGATCTCTGCTCTAATCTTAATTATTTTCCTTGTCATGCATGGCTTAGGCTTTATTTGT